ATATAGGATACATGTTCATGTCACTTTGTTAAATAATCAAGATCAAAGATAAAAATTTGATAAAAACCATTATAGATGTTGAGATACTTGTCCATGATCATTTGTTTCGAACCTGTGCATGAGCCTGAACAAATAATATTCAGTTTGGATACAGAACATCCTGTTTAATTTCTGACCATATAATACGATTTTGGAAGTGTCATCTAATTTCTGTTGATACTAGACTAGCCAGTTATTCACTCTAAATTATTAACTATGCTTTGGGTGCATATTACTTTATTTTTGGCAAGAATTCCAAGGTGGACTATTTCATTTAGAATGACTTTATTTTTGTATTCATAAACATGTATTTTGTATTCATATGACTGTAATATAGAATTTTTTAAATGAGTAGTAAACTTTCATATATTATTTGTGCGCAAATATTATTTGTGTGCATCTTGGTGTGTTCTATTTATTTGCATACAGGACCGCCGTTCCTTGAACATGTGCGGAATTCTAAGCCCCAGGGATCGATTTTCTGAAACGTCTAAATCCGAAGAGAAAATTTGAGGGGGGGGGGGGGGGGCTTGACAAGGAAGTGACTTTGACCGTGCGAATCGGGAAGAAATATAAAGTGGCAACTGAAAAATTGAGCGACTTCATCGGTAGGTGCATGGAAGGTACTAACGGAACCTTCCATGGTAGGTGCGAGGTCCCGGGGAAAGGCACAGTGTCTGTATTGTAACGATTTGATCAACTACGGTTCTTTGGCTGGTCCCCGCCTCTACGCGCAAGCTCAAGAGGCAGGTAATGGGAATACGCCATTAATAAAATATGAAATCTGATTGGTCGGGACATGGATTCTTCTAATTGGCTATTCAATAGTACTTCCGGGGCACTTGTTCAAACATGGCGGCAAATTTCAATCTGATGTTGTCGACGAAAATTGCCCTATCAAAGAGAAATATTTGCCAAAAAGGAGGCACTCCATGGTCTGACTCAGCAGAATCTAGAAACGCACCTTTCGCGGCTTCATTGGGAAGCCCGACGTACAATCCCTCATTTTAAAAGTGCAAAATAAAGTAATAATTTAGTAAATAAAGTAATAAATACTCACATGTATCAGCAGTGTGGTACTATGTAGTACTTTTTTTTTAATGTTACATGTATAGCCAAAACAAAGTCAGCTTGGACGTTCAGTTGCGAGACATGACAAAATAAACGTAGCGAGTGCTACATTTCGAAAATAAAAATACAAAATAAACCCGCCGGCCACGCGCGTTGGAAATAGAACGCGTTGTGAAACAGTCTCTCCAGCCACTCACGCAATATAATTATGCTATTTTAAAACGCATTGGGCATGTGAGAAATCGATGAGTGAACTCGAGCAAAATTATGCGAGTGCGAGAATTCGCTATATACCCGGCGGAGTACTCGCTAAAACATCGAGAAAATTTGCCATTTCAAAGGGCACCCCTTACAAATAATTTTGTGAACATGACGTTCAAACAAGGATATAGCAAATTATCTTTTTTTCTGTAATATTCGTGTGTAATCAGTAATTATGAAAATAATTTATGGGTGCAATTCTGAATTATCTTTTTTCTCTTTCTCAAAAATCGAAATAATGTCAAG